ACTCTCTGTGACTTTGTTGCTTCTCACACTTTGCCAAACAGTGGCAAAAAACAATTTACCAGTTTTCTTTAATTGCATTTGTATAGAAGTTTGAATAGTGACTAAGTGGTCAATTCTCATGGCAGCTAGCGGGAAAGGCATGGTGAAAGTTTCAGGGAAAAACTCTGCACCAAAACGTTGTCTTCACAAGGCTCTTAAATTGAGCTCTGCTCCCTCAGAGGACCCAGAGGAACCTAATTTCCCAGTTGACAGGGGGCTCATCAGAGGATAGTAAAGGAAATCCATGTTTGGAGAATCAGAGCAATGCACTGGGGCTGACGGTCTCATTCTTCTCCTGTGTTGCTTACCAAAGAAAAGGTGAAAATGCTTTTTCCACTTGTTACTCAGTGTTAAAATACCAATATGACTTCTCCAGTCCTAGCCTTCTCAAAACAAACTCAATTAACGCATCTTAGAACTGAGCTTTGGAGATTTATTGTAGTGTTGTGCTTTAAATCTGTTGTATTAAAAGTGATTTTTTTGAGTAAGGAATTTTCTCTCTACTGTTGACTTTGTTTCCCTATCTGAGTATAGAAACTAACGGGATTTTCTTTCATTTAAAATTCTCTTAAGTCCAGGTATGAGACATACTATGGTAGAAACACTAAATGTTTAGTTTTTTCACATAGAAAAAGTGTTAATATAACACACAGCTTTTGAATAGCTTAACAAATCCAGTACCTGACAGGACTGTGACCATGCATGAAAAGTTTCAAACCATACAGGGAGGAAAAGATAAGTAAAGCTGACTGTAAAGGGAAGCTCTTTCCCATCTTAACTATATGGTATTATCATCGATCACTAAAACCTTTTTCCTGTATAATATCACTTTTTTTCATACCCAGTTTGCTCAGTGATATTGTAATTTCAGCATTTATAGCCTTACCTGTTTTTTTTGTTGTTGTTGCCTGTTAGGATATTGCAACAGTGACAGCAGGGAGTGAATAAAGCAGGTATAACCAGGTTACTTCTTAGTACTCATATCAAGTTTTCTCTCAGGGAAGTGATGAAAACCATGTAATTTAAGTTATTTATAATGTGACTTGACAAAAATTCGGTAAAGAGGTGACAGTATAGTATAATAAGAGTTTTTATTATCTAATCTATATTGCTGTATTTGAACTACCCATTGTTCTATCTTTTTGCAATTCAGAGGCCAGTTTAGGAACAAATGTGGTCTTTATTTTGTGCAAAGGGGTGTGTGTATATACACATATGTCTGTGTATTATTTTTTTAATACATATAGATAGATATATACATGTATATACAATATATACAATGTATAAGTTATCCATTACTGTAATGATCTGGTGCATGATACTTTGCACTAGCATTTACCACCAGCCCTCAAATAACATTTTTTTTTTTTTTTTGTAAAGGGCTCATGTTCATCTGTAAGTTAGAAGTTTGAAGAGCACACAAATTCAGTAGTGCAGAGGTCAGGTGTGCAAAAACCTTGAAATTTAAAAATGAGTCCATGACCTGACTTCTGAAATGGTTAGAAACAAGGTATTTTGGGTAGATGTTTACTTCCCTACTTTTACTTTAAGCTACATAGTCATCAGTTATTTTGTAAGTCAGAGATGAATTTCTGTTGTCATTTTTTTCCAATTTTCTCTTTCGTAATTGTGATTAAATAGACTTCTACTCTTGTGTTATTTTCTGTTATTTGAACTCAATAACTTTTTACTTTTTGATACATGAAAATAATTAGGTGATGATTGGATAAATAATGCATCAGAAGACAGAGCAGAGCCGGGTAAATAACAGATGAAAATTACCCTGTTAGTGTAATAAGACTGAAAAATATTTTTCCATCTGGGTAGAGTCCTGAGCTAAAGTTATCTTTTTAGCCCTTTTCTCAGGGAAGAGAAATCTTGTTGTGCCCAATGAAACTGAAATAGTGACAGGGAAAAATGCTGTTGCTCTTTGCAGCTTTTTGGTAGCAGAAACAAGAAGAAAATTGGAAAAAACAGAAACAAATGTCTCTCTGTTGGAGCAATTTTTAGCACTGATGGTGTACAAGAGGAGACTCCTATGGGCTGTGAGACCAAAATCTAGCATGGTGATGATAAGACGTTGTAACAAACAGCAAAAAGCCACCAATACTGTTGTGTTCATATTCCTCTGTCAGATGGAGCAGCTGCTACATGTGTCTCCCAGAGTAGCAGCTTAGTAAATGCACAGAATTGCGTTTTAAATTGCTCGTCCCTGCCTCTCTAGGGAAATGAGTTAAGGATGTGTAAAGGAACAATGCAAATACTTTTTTTTCAGTAGAAAGTAGATTAATTCAAGCCAGTATTGAAAAACAGATAAAGTAAGGCTTAGGCTGTTATCATATGCAGAGGTATTTGAGATAGTATTCTGTGTATCAGTGGCAATTTAGTCTGAAAGTAGTATTTATTAAACCAAATATGTTAGACTTGAAAAATTAAGCTTTATGAAGATAAGAGATGCTTTGCCCTGGATGATAATGGTAAGCTTGATAAATGCCAAAAATGCAGATGGAAAGGAAAATCCCTGGGGGGAGAGAGCATACCCGGCAGGGCAAGGCAGGAGAGAGAGCAGCCAGAACACTGGCAGGAGAGACCTACGGAGAAACAAAAATTGGCTCTTTCTTTGAAAAAAAAGACAGAAAACTAGTGTACAGATAAAAACCTGGACTAAGACACTACTTTATCCCTTTGGATCTGCAAAGTAATTAACTTCTATTTCTCCCTCAAGTATAGAGGTCAGTTATAGAGCTTTATTCAGACGGTGGAGTTTGATAGACATAATCTAAATCTGAAGTGTAAGTACATAAAAAGAGTACACATAATTCTCACAATGTATACATCGAGTCTTTTGTTTTGTGGTTTGTGTGGGGTTATTTTTTATAAAACTTCTCTTCTTCTACCAGATGAAGTGCCTACATGCCCATAGGCATTTCAGAAGAACTATTGTACTTTTTTTCTGGTTTTAGTGAGTTTTATGTGCCCCTAGGATTTTTATAGAGTAGGCATATTTGAACTAAAACAGTATTATCATAGTGGCCTAAGTGAACAGAAGTGTTAGTATGGCACCTGTAGCTATAAAGGTTATTTTGTGGTGACACACTTTTCCTAGAATACAATCATAAAACCACAGTTTAAGCCTTAAATTCACTTTGGAGCAAGAGGAAATACTAAAATAAAATCTTTATATGTTGCAGTAGTTACCTCAAGTGCTACTGAAATGCCGCTGCTTCTGGGGATGTAGCATAGCTCTGCAAATACCCTGGAACAGTTTAGGATAAGTTTGAGAATAACTTACTGTAGTGAGGTAAGTAGAGTGAATACAGAAGTGCAGAAGGATACCTTGGTTTGTCCAAAGTACACTGGGTTGGAGAGTAATGATAAGGGATTCAAGTAATGTGTTCTCCAGAAAACATACCAGAGCGTTATTTATATAGTGCTTTTTATTTATTTAAAACTATTTCATTGTATTTTATTGGAGGGGCACCAGTTTAACAAGTGTTAAAAAGGCCTGACTGTGCTGTGGTGATGTCCATCTGAAGCACATCATTAACGAATAGTAATGAAATCTATCCTTGCTATGTGAACTTAAGAAGTTGCAATTCCTTATATGTAAGAGTGTATATTACTTCTGTCCCAGCTTGGAAAGTGTTTCCTTCAGATGATGTGTAATAGCTGCTTCTCTTTTTCTGTATGTTTTTATAAATTTTGTTTAAAAATTTGATTTATAATCCATTGAGAATTAGTAACATCTATCCCTTTTTATTGCAATCTATCTTGTTAATTTGATGAAGAGTCTGTCAGCATTTCTTTTACATATTTTGTTCCTTTGTGTGCTTTAAAAAACTCCTGCTACACAGTATATTATTCAGCCGTTTGTGGCTTGAAACATTGCCTAAATGCTAGTTTATGTTTCCCCATTTTCAGACTGTAGCTTTTTATGTCTGACAACTCAAGTCTTGCAGCAATAACATCAAGTTCCTGCTATGCTTAGAAAAACACCACCATTTAAAAATATCATCTGCCACCATTTTATTGCACAATGGATAGATCTCCTTTGGAGGGTTGCAATGTTTTGTTTGACTCGCTAGCTGTTTTTGAGACATGAAGTCTTTATATAAATTCCAAAATGCTTTTGCCTTTCACGGCTGATCACTGTTTGGAAAAGTCAAAGTGGAAGGATTCTGGCTGACTTCCACGTGTAGAAGAGCCTTCAAAAAGTCCTTTCTGCATGTGCTCATTGTACTAATATTAAGCCAAAGTTTGCAGAGACTTCAGTGCTTGGAAGTACTATCTCTGTTCTGTCACCAGCCTTATCTGTTAAATCCCAATGAGTGTGAAAAACGAGAAAAAATCTGGGTTTGCTTGGCTGTTTCAACAGTATGTTGAGAATGGCCAGATTGCTGGAGAAGACGATTCTCTTGGAAACCTCAACAGCCCAGCCTCCTCATCTGTAGGCACATAGAGCTCATGTGAGTGTGTAAATAAAAATAAATAATTCAGTGAAAAAATATGCAGAGTATTTTGATGAAGTGTTTCAATTTTGGATCTGCCATAACTAATTTAAATCTTCTGGTGGGATTTATGCAGGCAAAGGGTCAGGTTTAAGACGTTTATAATTTAAAGCTTTCCTGCTACTATACCATTTCTACTTTTATATCCTATCATTATACCTTTTTTTCTGCAAAAAACCTCTTCCTTTCCTGCTTTGAAGAGAGCATTTGCCTCTCCATTTATCTGAGGTAATGAGACCAGAGTAACTCTGGATTCTTTAAATCAGTCTAATTAGGCTTCTTTTAGTCTATAGAATATCCTTTTTTTGCACAGAACTTTAATTTCTTTGTGCAGTCACTCTGTCTCCAGCACTCAATATCTTACATGCGTTTTTAATTAAAAAAAGAGGAAAAAAAAGAAAGGGGGCAATCAGTTGTCATCCAAATGACTGCATTCTTTGTTCTCTATTCCAGGTTGATTCACGGAGGGCAGCTGTTAAATGGCTTGGCGGGGCCAACTGTGATGAACGCGGCACCATTTCTTTCTACAACGTGGTTTTCTCCAGATGAACGTGCCACAGCAACAGCCATCGCATCGCTGCTCAACTACCTGGGCGCTGCTGGCGCATTTCTAGTGGGACCTCTTGTAGTGCCATCTCCTAATGGAACATCTCACCTCCCGCTGCTATTGCAGAGCAACACTGAGCACATCAAGGACCGCATTGAGGCTGTGCTGTATGCAGGTGTGGTTTAAAAAAAAAAAAATATGAAAACTTTACATACTTTCATGTGTGTTTGGTGCTTATGAATCACTACCCTCTAGTGGCTGGTCTGCACAGAAAACAATTACTGATGGAAAATAATGAAGTGGTGAAATATTGTACCATCAGAAAGGTTAATTCTTTTTTTCCTTTTGTGTAGGAAAGATTTAAAAATAGCCTTTTATGCAGATTGATTGCAAATGAAGAGTTTCGGTTGTTTGTATCGGCTGATCTTAGGAGAAATGTATTCTAGGAGAGCTTACGCTTTCCACGAATTTTCAAACTAGTTCTTGCTTCTTGAATTTTCATTAAAAAAAAAAACCAAACTTGTCCATGACAGGTTGGGGTTTTTTCTTTTGTTTCTGTAAGAGTGGAAATCCAGTAGTCTTTCAGCATTAAATTCTTTCCTGCATTAAATCAGCCTTAATTTATGACTTGCATATGCCTTTCAAATGCGATTAGATTATTAGTATTTAAGAATCTAACATTGAAATTAAAACTCAGTAGATTTTGTTTTTAACTAAAACATGTAATTCTTATGTGGTGAGCAATTTCAGTGAAGTGACAACAGTTTAGTGGAAAAAAAACCACTGATGTAGATTTCACCTGATATAACTTAGATTTGATGTATTTGCTTTTTTTCCTGCAATGGCTTCTACAGCTCTTTGTGCCACTTGCAAAACTAGCAGCAAGCTTTAAGGAAAAAGAGGTGCTTAAGTGGCTTAAGAGTCTAGGATCTGATTCTTAGTGGATATAAATTGGTACAGCACTGAGAGCAGCTGAACTTTGCCGTGTCATGGCAGTTGCCCATTTGGTTGGGTTATTCCCCGTTATAATTGCAGCCTCTGAAATTCAGCCAAGAGTTAGCCCTAAGCATTCCAGAAATCTTAAAATATATATACTGTGTAGTTTATATGCAGGTTTATGGGATTGAGTTAGCTGTTTGTGATCATTTATTCCTGGACGTTATTCTTATGGAAATTTTGTCAAATTAATACTCCTGTTGGGTGAGGGCCATTTTACTGTTCATTTTAAAGAAAACATAGTAGAAGTTGGACCACTATTTCAGCAAGTATTTTTTAACCTGCTAAAATGTAACCTACTTTCTACTGGACTCGTGTATTGGAACAACAAGGAAATTTGGGTCTGGTTAGGCCTTTTTCAGAGGTAAATATGATGTTAGTCTCCAAAAATCTCATGGCAGATGAAAATGCTTGGTGTGAAAGAAGGAAAATGAAGGCAAGTCAGCTTTTGTCCTGAGGAGCAGTAGATAGGGGAGGAACAATCTAGCAATTAGAGAAGTGCCTTAGCAATCCCTCTCCAGACTTTCCATGGAGAGAGAAGAACTCTTCTTCCTAAAAGAAGTACAGTTTTGTGCCTAAAGCCTCTGTTTTGAGTGGTAGCACTAGAAATGTTGCTTTCAGTAGCCCATTAGATTCATTTTCTCTTCTGGGAGGTTTTTCCTAAGCGTTTTCTTCAGAAACTGGAATGGATCTTGCTTGCCACCAAGGTTCAGAGGTGTGTCTTAGGCATGCTGAGACATGGGGCAGGCCTTTCTGCCTTTCTGAGCCAGCAAGGGTTTGAGAACATCATGTAGACTTGTTTGGGATCATTGGTCCCAGCATAAGATGATCCTACAGCAGCTCTTCAGCTTCCTAGGAAGTGTGTTTTATGGGGCATCTGTAGTTCTTAGTATCTGAAAGTGGTTTGAACAGCGCTGGTTTCTTTGTGTAGCTGTGCTTGTTGTGTCATATGGGGTGCGTTTTTTCAGGAGCTACAACCCCTTTAGCTGTTCAGGCAATGAAAAAGAGCTGGTTCATGAACGTTACTGCCTGCAGTGAATCGCAGTGATGGTGGCAAAACATCTAACTCGTTTAAAATCGGTAGGAACTGTCAAAGAGGAGGTTGCTTTGAATCCCTTGTGGGATTTGTCCTGTCTCACCTCAGCCCTGTTTCCCTGGAGAGCTGAAGGAGCAAGGTCCCTGCTGTCCGCCTGCCCTGTGCTCTGTTATGCCAGGAAGGCTGCTTCGTGGTGTGTGACTGCCTGGTGGTAGTTCACCTGCAGACCAAAAATGCACCTGCAAGGTGTGGTAGGGTACTCTGTCCCCATAATCAGCTGGGCAGAAAATGGAGCTCAAATTGACTTCACAGATGACTGGAAGAGATGTTACAGAACATAGCAGAACAAGGAGCTAGACCCAAATGTCCCGCTTCCCCACTTGTACAGCAGGTGTGGTCAGGCTTGGTATAACTTCTCCTTTAAGATACTATGGGAAAGCCATTTTCACAGGATAAGCACTTTGCATTCCTAAGGGAGTTGTGTTTGTGATGGAGCTTGTTGCTTTTCTGTGAAGTAGCCTTAGATAAGCAGACTCCGAAAGTTAGGTGATGACTTTTAAAAGACGGTAATGATGTGAATTGTTAACTTGGGATCAGCAGCATGCCAAGAGTGTGCTAATTTTCCAAGGATTTAACCTCAAACATGATTACAAAGCAATTGCTTATATACCCATTCTGAAATTGCTCTGTTAACTCCAGTCTCTTCTGTGTTTTAATAAATTGCTGTTCCTTTATCTCAAATGCGGACTAAGAGCTCAGCTGAATTACCACAGCCTCCTTCTGTGTCATCTGTGTTGCTGCATATTCTGGTTCACAGCTGAAATAGTACAGATGTAGCAAATCAGAATTGAATTGTATTACCTGAATTGCATAAGGAAGCTTGAATTTTTTTCTGGACTGCAGCCAGAGCTTTTAGCCATGTGCTTTCCTAAATATCAATGTAAAAATCATTATTTGTTTAAAAAAAAATGTGTGTGTGTGAAGTGCCTTTATTCCCCCTTTACATTTCAGGACAGGATGGGGAGGAGGATTTCTGGTTTTGGGAAGGTTTTTGTGCTATGAGTAGCCTACATGAACAAAAAAGACCTTGTATCAAGGAGGCATGTGTCTCTGTAAACCTCTTTTCTGTTTGGGGTTTATACAGGCAGCAGGGTGCCTACTTCCTAGACAAAGATGCAGGCATCTCTCCACTTTGACAGTCACAGGTCACTGTGGTATGGTACCCAGCTTTCATGAAGCATTTCAGATTCATTCCTCAACAAGAGATACACATGGCTGTATTTCTGCACAGTAATTTATGCTGACTTGCCCAATTCTGAGTGCTTTGCTGCATCCATTGCGCTGTTGAGAAGCCGATAGCTCCTGTGGAAGAGTTCATCTTTTGTGACTGCAGCTCCCTGGGTCGCAATATTGACCTACTTCTTACCTTTTCTCTTTTGCTTACTTTTACTCCCTGCTTACAATCTGAAACTTGTCCTGGGAATGTATTTTCCTTTATCTAGTCTGATAGAGTAAATGATGATGGAGATAAAGGTAAGGGTGTCCTAATGAGGAAGGAATGCAACATAGAAGAAATTGGTTTTATTTGGCAGTACCTGGACTTCTGATAGAGATGCAGGTGTGATACACAAAACTAAGATGACACTAAAGACTTTAATAGAGGTATCTGCTTCAGTTTCCAAAGTGAATTCTGCTCTTTTCTTTTGTGCATGAGGGCAGTGCTTGCAAGGCAAATTTGTTAGCCTGGAAAGTATAACACTGGGAAACATTAAAGAGTTGCAAGAAGGTACTACAAGGACTGCATGCTGAATTTAATCATTAAAAAAAAAAAAAAAGTAGTGTTACTGTACTGCTCCTACTGCAACAATTTGACTGTGAGGAATCTTGAGGCAACCTGTAGAAGAGGCCCCAGATGGGCAGCTTTTATAAAATATTACTGTAACTTAAAAAAATTATCAACATGTTTTACATTCCTTAGAAAAAGACCTAGCCTTTCCCCTTATGGCACTGCAGTATAATGAAGTTAAATAATTAGGATGTCAGACAAAATCTGTGGGTTTGTGTCGTCACATTCTTCCTGGCTATACCTGACTGCAGTCTGAAATCTTCCTTTAATATGTGATTAAAGTTTGAGTATGCATGTACATATATATATACACCTATAAAACTATATATAGACATAGATACAGGAGAAGGGAATAAACAGCTTTTGGCAAGCCTTGCTTTCTTGTCTAGTATCAACCTATAGGACAAAGCAAGTTATGGCCGGTTCTTTATTCACTGCTCATGGTCTCAAAAAAAATGTGCACAAATATAGAAAAAGAATCTATTTTCTGAGGTACATAGGAGATACAGCGAGAAGGTCTAGTTAAAGTGCCTTTGACTCTCAAAACATGCAATTAGACCATGGTAGGAAAAAAGACACCGCATAATTCAAAACAAATTCTTTAGTATTTGATTGTGAGGAATGGTATTGTCACATTCCTGGTATGCCTTCAGAAGAAATTTAGTGTAGACTTTTTTTCCATATGCCAAATAGTAGCATTCATTTCCCTTCCCCATCTCCAGCTGATCCATTTAGACTCCAAGTGTTATTTACATTTCAGTTTCCTGAATTTATTTTCTTCTGGTTTAGCAGAAGAGCTGGCAAAGTGCCATGCTCATATTGATTTATTAAAAAAGAAAAGAAAAAAGAAAATGAATGCAATTGAGTATCCAGCTCTGCTGGAATTTATTTGTGGTGTCAGTGAACACTTCTTTGTTATAAGATCACAGGTTCTTTTAAGATAACATACTTCAGCTATACATTTTTCTCTCCAGCAGCAAGTAATTGTTTTCAAAGGAGATATGAGAAATACTGGGATTGAGGACTGTGGAGAACATGATATACATTGTAAAAGGCCTGTAAAACAAATTAATTAGACTGACTGTGGGTAGAGTTGTTTTTCCTCAGAATGTCTGATCATGGGGCTTGCTCAGTATTTTCTGTGAAGTGCTCATCACTTTGCAAGTTCAGGTCCAAATTTCTGCTATGAAATTTTTCAAAGATCTAGAATACCTGCTGCTGAACAAGAAGAGCATCTGCAAACAGCTGTATTCTTTCATTTTTCTCCCTATTACCCATGCTCTTTCTATTCCTGAGCCATAGCTGCTCCTACGCTTTTCTCTTTATATTCTGTTGCCATGTAATACTGTTTGTGTCCGAGATGCTGCCTTGCTTGACCTTTCGTTTGTCTTCATCATCCTGTTCGCCAAATAATTGTCATTCCATGCCCTGGGGCTTCCCCAGTCCCATCTGTTTAAAGTCTCTAGCACGCTGCTAGAGACTAAACCTGCACTGCGTTACTTCCATTGTGAGGAAACGTGGCCAAATCTTCTTAATGCAGTTCTCTCTAAAGAGAAAAAGCTTTCCTTTTGCTTCACTTGAGTTCTCCGTGTGCGAGCCTGGTTCTCTGCAGCTCCTGTCACTGGAATGCACTGCTGGTATTTCTCCATCTCATTGATTCTCCATCTCAATTTGAAATCTTGCTTGGGGACAAAAAAAAGAAATTCTCTTTCAAGTTCCGGAGTTCTGTTGTCAAGAGCAGTAAAGCACTTGTGGTGGGATTTATGTATCAGAGGCTGGCTGATAACAATGCTGTACCAAAATAAGTCTTTTGATGCTAACATCTGTTCTCGGTTTTGTTTTTCTTTGCCCTCTTGTTTAGAATTTGGGATGGTTTCCCTGATATTTTCTGCAGCGTTGGCCTACTTCCCCTCACGCCCTCCATTCCCTCCCAGTGTGGCTGCGGCGAGTCAACGGCTCAGCTACAGGAGAAGTTTTTGCAGACTCTTAAGGTAGGCCCTCACTGGGTTTCCACTTCAAAGCAGATCAGCACCTAAATAAATAAAAATAAGTGTGCTTTAATCTTCTCATTGAGCAAACAAGTTAGTTTGTAGTGCTTTTAAACAAAATAAATATTAATGCTGAGACGCAAGAGGATGCTACTTGCTAGAAAGCAGACATTTAATTTTAAATAATTGGGTATATCTCAAGCCTTCATGCCAGAGTCCTTCAGCACCAACACGGCTTTAGTTATCCTGTTAGCATGGCTTTTCTTATGCAATGCTTCTGTTACTGTATGCAACAGTATGCATACTGCTAGGTGTGAGAAAACTGTTGACAAGACTGCACATAACTAATAAGCTACTTCCATGTTTATTATATTGGAATGAATTTGGGGTTTGCTTGTCATTCAAAGGAGCATTTAGCTCCTTTCATTCAGCCCTGAGAGCAATGAATGGACTATCTGAAATGATTATATGATCTATGGATGTGTTTCTGGACAGGTTCAAAGGTAAATTAGTTTCCTTTACATTTTGGGGTTTAAAAAAAAAAAAGTTATAAAGTAAGTGGCATCTCCAGCTCTGCAACTTCTCCTACTTGGGCTCTTTTGGTAGGACACAGTCCTTCCCCACACAGTGTTTATACAGTGTCCTGCATCATGGGAGTCTGATCTCAGAGGAACAGCTAAAGCAACTGTATTAATGCTGAATAGCTGTGAAGGCCTGTGCCCGTTACGTGATACTGCACAGATGAACTTCCTGGGGCAAAGAAGAACCACTCCCATGGTGTGGAGTACGGCTGGCTTCACTGGGGGTCTTCAGACTCTTGCTGTAATTGTTCCTTGGGTGATGTAGTGATAGGAGCTGAATCTGCATACAAAGGGCTGCTTGAAACTTGATAATGGTGGAGCTTTAGGCATTTAGTTTTTACAGATCTATTGTGGGCTGTACTTTCTAAAAGTGTATTTAAAACCAGCAAAAACAACTCATCTCTCATTGCCTTTTTTTTTTTTTTTTTTTTCTTTTGCTTTTGGAAGCTTTTGTTTCAGTTTTGGGGAGTAAATAGTTGACAAGATGCCTAATCCTGTGTATTCATCTTGGAGCTGGCAGTTGGGAGAAGGTGTGAGTACAGCTGTCTAGTTAGTCTGCAAAGTCACCTACTCAGGATATTGAAAAATACCAATTCCCATAAGGACACTTAGCACACACAATAATGCTGTTACACACCTAAGCTCATGTGCAGTGAGACCCTGCCTGAGGGCTGTGTTGTAAAAATGTTGCTGTTGAACAGAAATCCAAACAGCAACTGACTCTGCAGGTGAAATACAAAATTTCTGTTGACAGGACTCCATTTGGGAGCTTTATAACCATTAGTTTCCTTGTTCAAAGTGTTGTAAACAGTGAACCTGAGATGCTGGTAAGGTCAGGAGGTAAACAGCAGAGCTGGCTTGCTATTTACAATCAATGAAACTTAAGAAAACAAACCAGACGCTTAAATAATGAGAATAGTTTATAGTGTCTCCAAGAACCAAGAGGTTTTTTAAAATGCGTTCAGGTAGACCATTATATCTCCCTTCCCTCTGATCTTTATGCATTCTTCCACGCTGCCCCTTATCAAAGGCACTTCTTCATTCCTCTGTACACGAAACAATCAACAGTTCATCATTAAACCCACTTATCTTGGGGAGCCTTTCAGCAACAATCCATCAAGCAAGGGGGTTTTATGAAAGAGAATGGTATCTGCCATGCTTCAAGAGAAATCCGTCGTTTGGTTCGTTAGGCTTCTAAGGTCTGTTGCCTGCTTAATCTAGGCTTCATAATTCTTGGCAGAGAGAGCCTTTCTTTTAACTTAATGGTGTAGACTGAAGGTAAGCGGCTGATGAGTACCAGGAAATCATGATTTCCCCTTATTGCAGACTTACCCTCTAGTATAAGGACTGTGTGTAAGGCATTTAGGATGTGTGTGAACTGGTGGGCTGACCAAATTATGCACCAAACAACACTCATGAGAATTGAGATGTTCATCATCTCCCTCTTCTCTCCCCCGGGCTGCAGTTTTATCACTTCAAAATAAAGCTGCGTCACATAACTTCACCATTGAAGTCATTGACCTTTTTCCTTGGACACCGAGGGGATCTATCACATCCTGCAACTCCCACACTCCTTTATGCCCTCAGGTCCTGAGCAGTCATCTTCATGAGCTACTTCTTTCAGAGTTGTATTATACATATCTTCTCAGGGTCAACCATTCCCTGTAGGCTGTTTTTTTTTGGACTTGCTTAGGAACTTGGTTCTTCCTCCTGATTTGGAGGATTCCTGCTTCTGACAGATTATAATGATTAGCTGATCTCTGGTTATCTCCTGATACCAACTCTCTCAGCCTGCAGTGGGAGACGACAGATTAGTCATGGTTTGGGAGCTAAGCCCAAATCTTTTAACAGTCTATCACACACTGTGACAAGTGTAGTTTGAATTTCCATTAGAAAAAGTACGGTGCCCTTTCTCAGTTTCTTGGGTGAAGCAAATACGACTTTTTTTCCCCTTGTATTTCAGAATATGCCACAAATTTCCATGGAAAAAATTTTAATACAAGTAAATAGTTGATAAATCTTAAAATCTGCATTAAGAAAACATGTAATGATTTTTGCTTTGAAGTCATTAGTTGCTTTTAGCCAGTTACATGCCTTTTGTATTTTCAAGGGACTATGTAAGCAATTTTTAAATTTCATAACAGGGTTTTTGTGCATCATTATTTCTTTAATGAAACTTTCATATGACACCACCATCCAGTGATGGAAACTGCTCAGAGTGTGCCTGATGATAATAGGCGCTGTCAAAGTTATTCTGAAAATGGTGACTGACTTTGACAGGGCTCCCCTCTGAACTAGCCTGTCTTACAGATTCTAGTGGTGTTAAGTAGGTTTCTGAAAAAAACAAGAAAAACCCAATTCGTATTCCAGCAGAATGGTTTAAACAGAGAGGCTAATGCTGATATCCTGTCATAAGGGCTGATACGATCGAAAACAGTGTGGGTTCACCAACTGATGGTGTGTCAGACAGCACATTTTTCTATTTTAAGTGGAGCAATTGCAAAATTGCAAAAACAAATACAAATGACTGGAACCATGAAAAGCGGGGCTGCTACTTTAGATGTATGTTTCATATAGCTTTAGCACTTAAAGTAGCCAGTGCTAGCTGCTGCTGGACAAGGAGACAATGACATCTGGTGATCAGTGGTGCTTTGTCACTGCCATGCACCTTTTCTCCTGGTCACCTTCCTTATTCTGGGACTAGTCAGGGTGGCAGCCTCTGTCGCTGGAGGATGTCATGATGCAGAGCTTGTTCACTAGTTGGACTGGGAGTTGGACGTGGCACAGGGCAGCTGTCCCACATGTCAGTCTGTCTCATTGCTTGAGTTACAGAAGACAAATATGCCACAGGAGATCTCGGTCAAGTAAGTTATAAAGTACTCACCCCCTCAAAAGTAGCTCTTTGGCTATCTGTACCTCATCTTTGTTAAAGATGTTGAATATTGAGCAAGTTCTATTTTGGAAGAGTGCATTCAGACTTGTTCCCTCTTTGCGATATATGACATAGCTAAATAATGTTCATGCAAAATGGACACTTTCCCCTTTATTCTACAGATGTTGAATTAGCTATTACATGGATAGTATTAAGCAGCATCAGAAAACCTGCCTTAAGAGATGCCAAGATGATACAAGGTAGACTAGGATAAGAGTATGGCATTCTTAAGAGAGAAAAAAATGTTATCAGGAAGACAACAAATGCTTTAGCATTCAGATAAATATAAGCAGTGTGTAGAGGAGCTGCAAGTTTGGGAGTTGTTTTTCTTTGCATTAAAAAATAAATCTGACATGAATGATATTGAAAGAGGAGGATATGTTCATGTGATGTAAATGTGTTATTCAAGAAGAGGATGTGTGAAAAAGAACAGTGCGAAAAAACACTGGCTGGTGTGCTGTGCGTGGATCTTCTAGGGGAGTAAACCAGTGTAAGCTGCAAACCTCTGAATGTTTTGAAGAGTATTTGAAGCTCTTTCTCTCCCTCTTGGCTTTTGTAACTATGTGCTTTCAAATTGCCTCTGCATGCCAAGGAACTGGTACTGATCAAGATCAATTTTATGTAAATTGTTTGGGAACGAGGGGAGCCACATTTTGTGGTTACACAGATATCCCATGGGATAACCTTGGAATCACTGTAAAGTCTCTTCACTTTAAAATATCACTATTGCAGAGTCCAAAGTATATTTTCTGGTTTTATTCCTGAATTGAAACATTTTTGAGGAAAAGTTGGATGTTTCTTAGCAAAGATTTCACATTTGATTTTGGTTACGGTGAGTGGGGGAAGTTGGTGGTGGTATTTGTCTGCCAACTCTTCTTTAGCTGCGTATGAGGAAGATGATGACACAGCTTTGACTGCTTCATTTTCACTGAATACTAAAGGTTGAATAATTTTAATTGGGAGGAAAAAGAAAACACACCGAGTATTTAGAACAGAATATTATACTTGTCTCTGTTTTTTGACAGTTCAAACTGTCAAAATTTTCCACTCTTGAAACTGTATCCATTTAATTCTCAAGAGTTCTCCCTGCCTTTCCCCAAAATAAAGAGAAGTGAAACAGAGTTTAAAAAAAAAAAAAAAGGTACAGTTCGGAAAGCGTGAATCTCTGATTTTATTCTTGAAATAGGCTTTTTGTCATTTAAATTAGTGTTTATTGTTCCTAACATACACTTAGGCTAAGTAGGTTGCCCATGCAAATTCATGGAAGCATTGCTTGCAGAAATGAGAAACGCATAAACCCAGCATAATACAAAAATCGCTGAACTACGTGGAGACACCGGCGTTTTTATTATCACACTGCTAAGGCAGTAACATCTCAGCCACTGGAATTTCAGTGACATGGCTGGATACCTTTCTTGTTTTTCCTGGCTCTCTCCTCCTTCAGACCTCTGCTATTTTTCTTGATGGGCAGAACATAGGTTCTAGGATGTCATTTGCTCTAGCAGCTAATCTGGGTGCAATTTCTAATATAAGCTGCAGCTAATCGCGTATGTTTTTTCTTCACAGCAATTTCCGATTCTTGATGATTGCTTTAGCCTATGCTATACCACTGGGTGTTTTCTCTGGCTGGTCTGGTGTTCTGGATTTGATATTAACACCAGTTCACGTAAGCCAAGTAAGTATCTCCTGACTGATAATAGGCAGCTATTTTGTAAGTGGCATGTTTTTATTTTGCACTAGCATACAATTTTATCAAGTTTTTATGTTTAAGCTGCTATTAATATATATGGACCACTTTTCTCCTGAAATTTTAAACAAAATAAACTGTAGCTTTGGCATCCCAAACTGTCACGATTCTTCCTGCTGACTCTCCACCGCTGGGGGGTATTTTCAGAACCGTATGCACCTTTTGACAAGAGGGAAGAGGGAGGTAAACAAATGGGAGTATTGCTGGCTGCTACACCTTTAGTAAAAGAAAATAATCTTTACCAGGTGGAAAAGATGAAGTGGGGAGGAGAGGATTTCTAAGCTTTTGATAGAACATTATTAAAATCCAGAGGACATTACTCAGTTTCTATAAAGAGAGGTCACATTTAGGACATAGGCTATTTAGTCATACTTTTTTTAGTGAATTTATTTCCTTTTGAGTATCCTAGAAAAAGTCTTGCACTTGATTGTTGTTGGGGGCTTTTGATACCATTCATTTTGAAAGTAACATCATCTTATTTTCTCAGCTTTAACACATTCATTTATGCTATGTTTTGTTTTGTTTGTGTTTTTTTCCTGTCAGGTAGATGCAGGCTGGATTGGATTTTGGTCTATAGTTGGAGGTTGTGTTGTTGGCATAGCAATGGCAAGGTAGGAATAATTGCATGTCCTTCTCCGTTTCTTCAGCTGTGATTGACATTTAGCTTATCCTCCTAATAACATAAATTGTTTTCTCTCATCTTCTATAAACTTGAAATGGAAAATACATTATGGGGTTATGATGCGTTTCTTGTAGAGCAGTAATTTGTATATTCCATGTTAGTGGTTGCTGGGGGTTGAGAACTCCACATGTGTATACCTCAATTTGGCAAGTCATACTGTTATTCCTGACAAGTGCTTCCTGTATGCTCCTTTTAAACTCAGTTCTTGTGAATGCAACTGCCTGGTATGAGGGAGAACCCGTTGTAGCACATTTGGAAAGCATTGAAGAAATTAGTGTCTGTCTCCTTCCATCAACACTTTTGGGCATATTGATACCCAGCGGAATATTGGGAGTGTAGCATGGGCAGCCTACCCACAATAACGTCACGTTCTTCCACAGAGAAATTAGTCTGGGCCTGTTTTGACCAGGTTGCTGCTGGCTTCCTGTATGGCCTGTTTTTTACTGTACTGCTATGAGCTATAGAGTGGGTGTACCTATGCTTTTTATATATCCAAACACAGCTGTCTCTGGCCATCATGAATGCTGATGACACAGGGAGCGAAAAAGCAAGAAATGCTTTTTCTTGCTTTTCAAAAACTGTCCTTTCCAAATGGCTGCTGCTTTTTCTTGACTGAGATCCCCTTTAAAAAAAGGGGCGGGGGGGTGGGATGGGGAGAAAAAGTCTTTCAGGAGGTACTTGAGCAGTGAGTTTATAAAACTGATTAAAACCAATCACATGTTCCCCTGTCATCGGGATATCTATAGCACTGTCCTGGCTTCTCTAGAACTGTTCTTCAGACTCCAGTTCTGCAATGAGTTTAGCACAAATGCAGGGGTCTGTCATCACTGCAGTCATTGTGGGACTGTGGACCCAGAGAGGCATCTTTGTAGGACAGAAATTGAAGCTCTTTTTTTTTTTTTTTTTTTTTTTTTCATGTGCTGTTCATCATCAGAGTACACAGTGCATAAAGAAATGTGAGGTTTCTCATCCTGACATTTTGTAGGCTGCCTAGCAACAGCGATGGAGGGAGAGGAAAAAAACTCCTGACCCAGGGAAAAGAAACAAGCGCTTCCCTCCTCTCCGCTCCAGATGCAAGCCTAAGGACTTAATTTATTGCAACAAAGTTCACACCCTGGTTTCCTCTAAAAATAGTTGCTTTTGATTAGCTAAGCTCAGTTACAAAGTTTTTGCTCTAAGAGAGGTAGATGTTTAAAACCAACTGCTGTAAATAACACAGATGCCCTGGCGGGTTATGTGCTGAAGTAGGTAGGGGGCCAGTTTAATCTTTTCTATCATGAGTTAATCTGTAGTATATTTGCAACATTTTAATAGTAGAGGGGCACCCTTAGCAGCTTACTTAACTTTGTTAGGAGAGAATCTGCTGACTCAATGCCATCATGTGAATCTCAGTCTTTATGGAAAATTAATTTATTTAATATATTGCCTGGGTTAAGTTTCAGGAAATGCTGACAGTCTCTTTAACTGCTTCAAAATTGATCTCAAACCTTGTTGAGTACCAGTATTTTGTAGCATTCAGAGATTTTCTTTTGAGTAAATTAAACAGATACCAACAGTCTGTCTCCAAATATGTCTTTCTAACTTGGGCGATACACAGTTCAAATGGGAGGGTTTGCATACAGAAAGGGAGGGAGGAGGTGATTTGTCACTCCTGATGGATGACTCTCCCTCCTAGGCCTATTCAGCATTTATCTGTGTAGGGTTGAATCAATGACGAGTCTGACTGTAATCTGCTGAAAGTTGTAATTAGGAAAATTAAGTAATGATTCTTGTCAAGGCTGACAAGTTGATGTATTTCAGTGTCAGAACGGTGATTTGCCAAGCAAGCAGCTCTCTCCCTTAACCACCTTTCAAGAAGCTGTTGGGTTTGGGGTTTTTTTTTACCTATTTTTTTTTTTCTTTCTGCTATTTTATCAAAACAAAATTGGTGCAGTTTAGGAATTTGCTCCTTCCATATTTGTCAGTGCAGATTCTAACATTTAGAACTGTAACAACCTGAGCCTTGCCCTGGAGCATTTGGTCCTGCATGTAACAGTAGGTGTTAAATCATCTATATTTAAAGTAATGCCCAGTTTGGAAATTTGTTTATCTATCCCATTTTCAAAATGGTGCAAGTTTTCCTCAGCACAATACATAAATCCTCATGCTCTCACCCACTGCTGTCCTGCAAGCCATGAACTTGGTTACGTTTAGTTAATTTGTGTGATGCATTTTTATAATTGAAAAGCCTGGGCTATTTTGGGCAGCTGGCAGGTGCTGTACCCTTTACTGGCAGCTTTCATATGCTAGTGGTTTGAAGAAAAGCAGTGTCGAAGAGCGACATTCATATCATTGTATGGAAACATAAATCTGTTCTCTTTTCTTAATTTTTTTTTTTTTGCCAGTTTTGCTAATGATTGTAGACATTTCTGAGATTTTGTCCTCCATGGTTCAATTTTTCTTCCTGCTTTTAACCTGCACTATAGTCAAAATACTGAAACTTCATGACATGGTGATAATTTCCTTAGCAACAGTGTTGTCAGCAATGCAGGTTTGTGATTTTAACTGTAGGATCCAGCCTAGGGCTGGATGTGCTGGGCTGCAGGAGACTGTTACCAGCACTAGGCTCAGAGTATACACACCTCTCCTGGTGTGCCTATTTTTTTAGCAGCTGCAGACATCCCTTTACATGCTAGATGATGAAGAAGGATTTAAACAGAATGGAGGGTTTTGAAAGCAGATACTGAGGTCAGAGGATAAAAATAATTTCTCTCATTTTTAATTGAAAAGTATTCTGAAGAGTTGACTAGATTTACAGTTGTCTTTTTTCTATTGTAACCAGACAAGAAGCAGAAGTCCCTCAATTACCAAGTTCAGGCTAGTTTGCTATGTCATTTTTTCCAGTTATTTCTGTTGCTGGCTGAATTCAGTAGCTGCATAAACCTTTAAGTTTGTATTTGACCCTTCCGAATCCTGTAATAGCCGAGAGCTCCTGGGAGCACATTGCTACCACTGATACCCAAACCAGGATCTTTGTGTCAAAAAGAATTGCAGCTACTTGTGTATCATCCTTCCATCGCCCCATATCCCTGGTGGTAGGAGAAAGGACATCCTCAAGATCCCTTCCAGACCTGTTGTCTGTGAATGTCCCTCCCTGAAGGCTGATACTTCTCACACTGTGTTTCATTAGACGGGATATACGTAACTGCTCTTGCCTGTAAGGAGATAGAATAGTGATGTTGTCTGACGGCAGGCAAAGGGGGGAGTCTCTGTGGAAGAAGCCAAAAGTTTGCACTTTGAGATGCTTCTGAGAAGCTTTTAAAATTGCTGATATTGACCCCAGTGATCCCAAAGAATAATTAAAGAAACTGGCAAACCACTGAGAAGATTGTTGGAAAAAAACAACAGTAGCAGCTAACCTCTGACTATTGGAGATTAATGCATAAGCCACTTGAACACTGCAGTCATAAACTTTTAAGATTGTATGCAGCATTGGGCTTCACTACTGATTATTGAATTACTCACTGCTAAATTCAGTGTGGAATTACAGGGAGAATTAAAATAAGAGAAAAGGAGTGGTTTGGTTTTTTTTTTTGTTTTTTTTTTTTTTTTTTTTAATTGCATTACTTGTACATCTCTTGCAGCGTATGTGGAGTTGAAGTTCTTAGTTCTCAAAATGTTTGTTAGATTATCTGTCTTATCAAGTAAGATATAAGGTACCTGCCTGTAAAGTGATCTTTGTCGGGGCAGAGAAGGCAGTTAGCTGACAGACAGACAGATTTCATCATGGATGGATTGTGCTGCCATTAACCTAATCAAGATAGGAGGCTATGAGGGCAGAAGACATTCTTCAGACATACATACCTAACCCACCCAGCCCAAAATCACATCTCCTAAGCAGGAGATGATAGAAAATTACCAGTGGATAAATGACACTGCCTTTTCTAATATATCTTTTTTAGTAGCTGTGTTGAAATATCTTTTGAAAAGAGCAGTTGTACTGATAATTGTGCCATGTGAGTGCTGCTCAAATACATTATGTCTCCTTAAAAAGAAAAGGAAAAAAAAAAAAAGATGAGAAAAGCAATTGTACCATCAGTTGGTATAAGGATTGTATTTCCCTCTGTGTAACAGCCACACTGCCCAAGGACTTGTGGGGCTGTCCTCCCCCAGACTGTCAGTGAGGCATGTGTAGGAAAGGAGTGGCACCAAGCTCTTAGTTTCTGGAACATTTCAACCCAAAACAGCCACTGGCAGAGTGACCAACTGTGTAAAGAATTCCTCCTCTGCCTGAGCCACCGAGAGCTTCATCACCAATGCATCCAAGGGTTCAGAAGCTGTTCCTTGTCATCTTCGATCTAGGGATTCTGGTATTTGGAGTTTTGTCATTTCCCACAGGAATGAATCTTGACACTTAACTTTGTCTTGAATGAAATGCAGCAGCCTCCTCATATGCTAATCGGGCGGTGTGTCTGCCAAGCGAGACTGGCAAACGCTGACAAAACAGCGATGTAAGTAGTGGTGTGATGTTGTGTCCAACAAATGCAGAAGAAAAAACCCAACACCTTCCTGTATACCAAGGGTTTTCAGTTGATGCTTTGAGAATTGTTCTGGTTTGGTTGTTATTTTGTGACAGCTAAGAAATCCATGGCTCTTCAGCTTGACAGCTAGAAATATCACTATTCTATAAAAATGCCTTTTTTTCTATTTCTGAAAATGAGAAATGATTTTTAAATTGTTGTTATAGTCTCCAAAATGTTTAATGAGAATATACTGAATTAATTGTCAAGCATCAAATTTAAATAATATTAAAATCAGCATTTGTATTGCTCTGATCTGTGCTATTATTTTAGATTTGCAGATTTTATCAGGGGCATGCTGAAGTTTATACTGCTGCTGCTTTTATCTGGAGCAACATTAGCATCAACCTGGTTCACTCTCACTTGTCTGACTAGTGTCACTCATCTGCCTTTAACCACAGGTACCGACAATTATTTTAATTCCTATTGTTTATAATTGGTATTGCAAGCAAAGATTTGCAGTCTTAAATCAACTGTACTGTAACCTGGTTTGGTATCTTTAGGAATGAGGTAGTTTTACTGAGACAACAACAAAAAAAAAAGGCTTAGAAAACCTATTGAATCTGAAATGTCTTTATCAGCTTTGAATAACTTAATAGAAAGATTAAAAATAGCAATACCCAATAATAAGAACCCAGAATATGCATTTAAAATTTATTTTGGGACTGAGTGTTTTTCTGTTTTGAGTGTTTGGAATAACAGAGGTGAGAAGTAAACCAACAAAAATCAGATGAATGGGAGTGGCCTTGCATATCAGTGACATGTCTGGGAATTTAGGGTTTTTAAACTTACATTAATTATTGGAAACGTGGTGCACTTCAAGTCAAGGTGATCCATAGTATTTTCAGCCATTTAAAGCTATCCTTGCACTGTGCTGTCCTCTTTTTTGCACCTGCATTCAGGTTCAGGGAACTGTTCCAGCCCAAAATTAACTCAGCCTGTGCCTCAAAAAGACGGGAAAAAGGCTGTTGGCAGGAGTGGGGGAAATGCTCAGAGGTCTACTCAAGCTGCCAGTGAGCTGTACCCTTAGTTGAAAATTAGCTTCCACTTAGTTCTTAAAAATCTGTCCTTCACATTAGTATCAGCACCAAATGATCAATCCACCTATGATTCCAAGACCTTCAACAGAGTAATGAGTTACAGTAAAACTAAATTTTAAAAAATATTTATTGAAGAATTCTGTAAATCCATTTTTAAATGAAGTGCCATCTTTGTAATAGGTAAGTTTATACATTATAGGAGAAATGAAAATTGTTTTTTTCCCCATTTTTAATAAAAAGTTTGGTGTGGAGAATAGTATATAAAATTCTGGTTTACTCAAATTAACTTTGAGTTTCAGTAAGTGTCCTTGGTGCATTGCATATGTCACAATTATAAACTAAAGTGGGTACAGCAAATTGAAATACATGATCAATTCAGGAGAAACACCATCTGGATGGATAGGTCAAATCTGTGATTTATCTTGAAATTTCAACTTTTTCAGAAAAAATTCTGCTTAAATAAAATGTAATTTAATCAATAAACAAATCAAATTTCACGGTGGCTGTTGTCGTACCAAATTACTATGCTTTTCCATCAAATCTAAAATAAATGCAATAAAAGCTTATTTCTTGTGCTTGCCTGCTTCATCACTGCAAGCCTGCAGTAATGTAGAATTTTACAGTAACTCTATCCTCTGAATTGTTGCAACAAGCCAAACACATAAATGTCCCTTCAAGTCTATGCATAAGAATGAAGCAAAGAGGTTTCAAGAGGTGAAAGTCATTACGTCTGTACTCACCAGTGATCCAAAACAAAACTGATGGAGCTCTGTCTCTGATTTTATGTTATTTCTTCGTAAAGAACTCGGCATGCAACATAGGTTCTAGAAGAATTCTTGCTTGTTTATAGCATCTAGGTGCATTATGGTGTTGTTTTTTTTTTGTAAAGGTGATCCACTGTCAAGACATAGAAGTATGTAACGTATTTGAGGTTTGATATAAAGTATCCTAAACTAGCATCCCTTGATAAAACTCTAGGGTTTGGGTTTTTCTTTTCATGCAGTTATTGTTTCTTTTTAAGTGGATGATTGCTTAGATTGAGTTATAAATTATATTTTAGAGTTTTCTGTCTGTGCTGTTCTTATATATATAATGTCACTGTAAATGTTGAATCCTTTTCTATAAAACACAAGCCTATTTTGAATAGAAATGACAGCAATAGAGTGCATTCCTCAAAAAAAAAGGCAATCTAAAGCATCAGGGCCTAATGTGCAGCCACCAAATAAGATCTCTTTTTTCTTCTGTGGCATAGTGTTTAAACTTCATAGATAAGCAGGGGGAAGGGAGGGGGCTGTTCATATCAGCCTTTTCTCATTAAAGTTCATATAAAATAAATGTGATGCGCTTCTTCAATTTAGATCCTTGTACACAGAAAAACAGTGGTATATCTTTATGAAATATGCTGTTATGGATGAAAACACACAAGCTATTTAAGCTAATTTATAGGACTTCATGCTAGATTATTCCTCAATGTAATGATGCAATATGATGATGACCTCTGCATTCCACAGTAATTGGGAGAAACGGTACATTTGAATTGATTTGGATGAACTACTTTTTTTTTTTTTTTTTTCTTCTTCTTTTAATTAAAAGTTTGAGATGTAGAGTATATCAGAGTATAAATGTAGGTCAAATGCAGGCCATTGGCTGGCAGCTTTGGGAAGTGATTTGAGGTAGCTGGTTAAGGTAGAAGTCGCTCTGCATACTCATTGGACCAATGTTGACAGTGGACTTCCAGATAGTTATCCTCTGTGTGGTTTTGTAGAGCTGGAAGATGTGCAAAACAAAAGCAGCCATCATTGTGGAGTTTTTTTCTTTCTGTCTGTCTGTCTCTTTTTTTTTTTAGAAGAGATCCATGTAATGCTTTGTATCCCAGAGCTTCTTTGCAGACATCACTGAACACCTGCTGCAAAGCAGGGATTGTTGTGTTACTGAGTACAGCAGGGTTCGATGTTGCCAGAACGGTAATAAGCTCCTCAACTACTTCTTCGTGTTCTGTGGCCAAGAGCACAACTGTTAGGCTTGGTGGTGTTACAGAGCCAGTGGTGGATCTCAGTCCACACTTTCAGCCTTATTCAAATGCTAAGGCAGAGCAAGCAGCGTTCAAAACTGACTTATGGAAACATGTCGGGGTGTACATTTGATCTTGCAAGGAGGTTTTCCCTTTCAACCATTGAGCTCTCATTTTGTGAGGGGCTTCCTCCTCCTCTCTTGCCCTACCTCTGATGTTCTTCTCTTGAGCAAGTCAGACCTTGCCCCACAAAACTACAAGTGTTGCCATCTTCAGCAATACCTGGAAACTGCTAAAATAGCCACGTGACCTGCTGGTACGGTTAAAAGGGAGTTCTTCCACGGGACGTGACAGTCATTTTCAATGAGGAAGCAAGACACCTCATGGGAGTCTTTGTACTGGTTGTCATGGTTTGAGCCCAGAGGGCAACTGAGCACCACACAGCAGTTTACTCACCCCTTCCCTCCCAGAACTGAGAATGAGAAAATAAAGCAAAAGGCTTGGGAATCGAGATAATGACAGGGAGGGATGACTCACCCATTACAGTCAAACAAGCAAACAAACCCAGTGCACTGGCCCAGATACTAAGGCAGGCTTAAGCATAGAGATAAAGGCTGGTTACAGAACACTGTCGTCCTCTTCATCTCACCTGACAGCTGCTTGATCCACAAATAAAGTTTGCATCCATAGGCAGACCTTGCCAGTGGTTACCCTTGGGTCCAAATACAGTCTTTTCCGTTAGCATGTGGATATTGTGTGGCATACATGCTCATTCCTCTCTTCTGAAAATCCTCTCCCTGTCTCTCACCTGGTCTCCAGAGTAAGCACGCAGGTGGGAATGTTTGCATGCAAGCAGGCTTTTGAAATGCTAAAAAGATGAGAGAGTTTCACCAATTATTCACCTGAAAGGAAAGGGAAGAAAATCTCTAAAGACCTGTTTTAAAATACAACCAGCCAACCCCTCTTTTTTAATCAGTATTCTTTGTAGCAGTTGTTGTAATGTCTGGTTTAAATATTGAGGGAGGAATTGTATTTGAAAAAACAGTCACAGCAAAATGTTTTTTCCTGCACTTGTTTGTGTAATATTCTCCTAATTCCTTGTAAACAGGCACGACATCATCTAAAGATATTTCCTACAAAATGTAATTACTTAGAATGGGGACCTTTAATGCAGATATTAAAAATCAATGACTGCTTTGTGTTTTCTTTAAATGATGCTGTTTAGCATTGTTTGTATTGTGTAATGCCTGCATTGCTCTGCATTACTGTGATAAGCTCAGTTTTTTCCTCCTGCCACAGAGCAAGGCAAGTTTTCTGTCACTTTCTGACTTTCTCATATATTTCCAAAAGATTTTATGAAAAGTGTATTTGGAGTCATGTGTATGAACTATAACTGCTAGTGTGGAAAAAAAAGAAAGCAAGGCAATAATCATATAGTGCCATCATAGCTACTATATCATCTGTCTAAAACAGCTCTCATCAGCTAATCACAGCTCTTAAAACCCCTTGATTCTGGAACCAGTTTACGTTTTAAGCAAGCTTGAATTTTCTTTTAAGAAATTTTAATTTTAATGTATATTATTTGCATTTTCCAGCAAGTTTCAAAGACAATTTTATGTACACACTGAGCATTAAAATAGTTTTCTCCATTGAATTCCCAATGCAGCTGCTGCTCTGTTTCTCTGTGCCAAGTTCATTGTTAGTTTGCTTTGTACTGAACTTCATTATGTGAATTTATGTACAATGGGATACTCTGACCCAAAATAATTGTGTAAGGCATTGTAATGCCAGTTTCAGTATCTTGCCACTTTGTATTACTGGTAATATCTCTGGATACAAATACTAGCATTTTCCAAAAATTGATATGCAACACTAGTTGCTTGCAGCTCAGTTTGAATGTTTTCAGCATAGCATATCAAGAATATTCTAATATTTATGAGTACATTCAGCAGAATTTTGCTTTACAAAACCTTTTCTAGTGCTGCATGGCAGATATTCTGAATACGATGGCAACTCCATGAGTTGATGACTATATTTAGGTTAAGAGGTATATACATTATTTTTCGGGTTCAACAGATTGAACATTATAAACACATCTGTCTCCCTGTACTCATCTACAAAGCACAGTGTTGAAAATGAGAGATATTAATTATTTAACACTGATTGTTTTAGTCCTTGAGTTTAATTTCTTCACTATAAACAAGATGTGCTTGATAAGTATAAGGCAGGGGGACCCAGAGGATAAAACAGTGGCCTGAAAACATTTCTTTCTCTAGCTTCAGCATTAACCTGCTTATGACTGTGGGTAAATCATTACCCCCACGCCTCTTGTGCTTTTCCCACTTGTAAA